GATGATCCCAGATGATCCGATTTTCCGGATCCAATACGATCAGTAGACGGTGTTGTCAGATCAATCGAATTTTCTGCGGTATCTGATTGATCTGATTGAATTGCTGTTGATGATGTCACCTTCATTCCGTCCGTATCGTTGTCTGCGGTCTCAAATTTCGAAGGTTCGGCTGAAGTGGTCTCTGAAGTGGATGGCGGATTTCGTGACGTTCCTGCAGGCAGCATTAAACCGAAATGGTGTTTGACTGAATCGATGATTTTAATGGCTTCCTCTTCGAGCTCCGTTGTAGTGTTGCTAATTTCTTGTTCTACCGCCGATTCCAGGGTCTCCATTGGAGTACCTGAAGTGTCTGAAGACGTTCCGGCTCCGGTTCCGGTTCCAGATGGGCTTTTTGAGGAGGTCTCCTGTTCTTGAGTGGCTGTGAATTTGGATATTTCTAGTGTTGGTTCCACGGTAGAAGAGGGCGGCGAAGCTGATTCTGATTCACTGGGCAATTTTTCGTTTGTTTCTGAATCCAGACGTCTGGACAGAGGTTCCGAATCCGATTGGAAAGCCAGACTATTGGAATGCTGATGAGCAGTTGCCGTTGTCGTTGTCGTTGTCTTCATTGTATTGTTTGTGGTTGTTGTTGTTGCATTAGCTGAAAAAATTTTGGTTTCGGAAATAAACTGGAATTCAATTTTCAGGATAAACCTGAAATTAGACAGGGCAAACCTAAAATTAGATAGGAAAAACCTGAAATTCGAATGTCAAGAGAAAATCATCAACTTACTGCCCCACGTCATCAGCTTATTAGCTGCGCTAGCCGCGAAGCCCAACAGCTGATCCAGATGGGTATTTTCGGCTAGTGCGTTGACCAGATCAGAAATCGCTTGTACGGGTGGTTCTGTGGTGGGTCCGGCTCCAATCAACTGCTCTGCAAACCAATTTACATTTAAGCCAATAAACTTCACGGATCACTGAATCGATTGATCAGCTGATTGATCACTGATCACCGATCAATCAGAACAAATCGATCAAACGCTTCCAGAAAAAAGTAGCACAACGTCTGAAAAATCACTGAAAAACCAACAAAAATCGAAAAATATTCAAGAAATTTTTGAATTTTTAAGAAAAATCTATCGAACCCGAAAAAGTTGTCTTCAGCGAGCCATTTCCGATCGCCAGTGTATCGTTAATATGCAGTGGGCCTTCATTGAATTGTAGATTAACTTTTGAAAAATGCTCCGGTGAGCTGCCATTGCCCTCCAGCTGTTGAGCTTCCTCTTGGAGTGTATCGCGTGTATCGTTGATATGCAGTGGGCCTTCATTGAACTGTAGATTAACTTTTGAAAATGGTTCCGATGAGCTGCCATTGCCCTCCAGCTGTTGAGCTTCCTCTTGGAGTGTATCGCTGAGTTTCTCGATTAGATCCGACACGGGAAAGGCGTCGAACGTCCCGTCAGCCTTACTTGATGAGGCTGACTCGGATTCCGTTGTTTTGGTTAAGATTAAGCTTGAGCTGGAGCTTGTTAATAGATCTCCTGCTGGGGAATCTGTAGTAGCAGCTGACTGGCGATCAACTGGCCATGAGTTTTCGATAGTAGACGATTTGGAGGCTGCATGCTGCTGGGTTGCAGAAATTTTCCGGAAAGCCTCCTCGTTGATCTCCTTCTCGCCCTCCTCATCCTCTGCTGCTAGTGGTGTTCCGGTTTCAGCTGACTCTCCTGAAAAATTAGCGGAAAAATTAACAGCAGCTGGAAATAAAGATGTAAAAATGTGAAAATTTAAGAAATTTTCACGGAATTCAAAAAATACGCGAAAAAAATGTGCCAAACCCGAATAAATTGATTTCGATTCAGGCGTAGTACTCCAAATTTCAGCGGCAGCAGCAGAAGCCTCGCCGTCTTCAGTTGGAGTTGTTAAAAGTGTTGTTGAATGGTTCCAAGACGGGACCTGAGCCAATGAGCCCACTAGGCCAGTCCCAGCAGGCCTTAGGAAGCTGTTGAGATGCTTAGTGGGTGTCAAGACGGTTTTCCGGAACGCCTCTTCCTCCTCATACGGTAGCGTTGTACTCTCGCCAACCTCCTGCACTTCAGTGCCACCGGAACCAGCTAGAGTGCCCACTTCAGTGGTTTCCGGTTTTTCCGTAACGAAAGCCGCCTCTCCGGAAGAGTCTGACGCTGAAAGCGTAGGCGATTCTGAGGTGGTTGATTGGTGGAAAGCACTCCCTCCAAGTCCTGTTTTCATGATTTTTGTGCCAGTTTCCTCTGCAGAACCCTCAAAAGCCGTCGTTTCCGGTCGTGTTCCAGCTGTAGCATCATCAAAGCCACTGGAGCTAGTTAAAGTGCCTGAAGTGACCACCTCTTCAGGTGATTCTGAAATCTTTCCGTCTTCAATTTCATGTGCAGACATCGATGGAGTGGACTCGGTGGTTTGCTCTTCTGCGATGGTGTGCCCTGCCGTGGAAGTTTCTTTCAGTTCTGAGCCATCTTCAAAGAGGTCACTAGTCACGGCGGTTCCTTGTGGAGCTGTCGCCTGTTGTGTACCCAGAAGTTTCACTTTTTCTTCTGCACCTTCTTCGGTCGCCCCAGTGCTAATGTCGATACTCACCGGACCTAGATCGATAATTTTAGGTGCTGGTGACTGGGTAGTAGATGAAGACTCGAAATCTGCTGGTGTTGTTACAGGTGAAGATGTTGTAGTAGTCTCGGACAAGTCATAGTCATCAGCCGTGGGGCTTTCGCCTCGTTCTGAAGCGTTCTCGTCGTCCTCCTCGCGGCCATCCTCATTGTCCGATGAGGGTTCTACCACAGAGACACTTTCGGGTAATTTTACGCTCTTCTCGTGCACCGGCTCAGCCAACGACAACTCGGTTGTCGTCACTGACGCCTCGGTTGTGGACCTTGTGGAGCCTGTCGACTCTGTGGACTCTGTGGACACTTCGGTGGACCCGCTGGACCCTGTGGATGCCCCTGCGGGCTCCGGAGCCCACGTGGTGGTGGTTGCGGTGGTGGTTTCGTCGAATGATTTGGTGCTGATTGATTCCACTGTTTCAGTTGCAGTTCCAGCTTCAGTTACACTCGTCATCCAACCCTGTTCGACTTTTTCTGTCAGCACCTGTTCATCTAAATTTGAAGCGAAAGTCGCAGCTTCAGCAACAGTACTAGAAATATCTTCGCCTGGACGTTCTGGAATGGCCGAATTCAAGCTACCTATCGTATAGATGGACTGTAAATCGGAGACAGGCGATACAGATGAGGATGGCATGGTGATCGTATCAATGCTTCCCGAGGTATCGATAACTGATTGAGTTGAAGTCATTTCCTCAAGCGTGGAAAAGTGTGTGCCCTCTGCAAAGTCGGTAGAAAAATGCTGCGCGGTAGAGGGCTCTTCTGAGAGCGTCGAGAAGCCCTCAGAGGCGCTTAAATCTGTAGCAGTGGACATTTCAGACGCGCCTCCCTCGGTTGTTTTCGGTTCTGCCGTAGCAAAAGCCTCTCCTGACGAGTCTATCGCTGAAAATTGATGTGGTGTTTCTACAGTGGACTGGTGAAAGAACTCACGGAACCCCATTCCGTTCGGCTCCACTGTTTCAAGTGTTCCTGCACGACCAGCTTCACCGGATAGCGAGGATTCTGTTGAGCTCGACCAAGACGGGATTTGACTTACTGATGTTCCAACAGGCTTGAAACTAAGATGCTCTTCAGTTGCGAGGGTTTTCCTGAAAGGTTCTTCGTCTAGTGGCGTTGTGAGCTCGCCAGACTCCATTTGAGCGCCTCCCTCGGTTGTTTTCGGTTTCCCGGTAGCGAAAGACTCTCCTGACGAGTCTATCGCTGAAAATTGATGTGGTTCTACAGTGG